CAGGAACTAAATAATGTTAATTACTGGAATCTCATTTACATCTTCACCGTGTAAAAACTGACCAAAAAATAGTCATTAAATAAGGAACACATTTCCAGTTCATTATCCGTCAGCTGTCGCATTCCCAGATTTCAGAGGTCCTACTTTTTCCTTCACCTTCGTCCTATACCACGTTGAAAGAACCCCTTTGGATTAGTCTTTGTTCATTAGCGACTCTAATTTCATAGTCACGTTTTAGCCTTTCTAATCGCCATTCTACTTCTCTTTTAAGCTGAACATATTGGTCAGTAAGGTTAACCTCTCCTCTTCTGATGCGCCTATAAATTCCCCTTTTCTCCCCTAATAGATGCTTTAACCTCCTGTTAACCCATTTGGGATCGTTATTATTAGACCTAATTTCTCTCTGGGGAATGTATATACTCTGGGCACTGTGTACATTATTAAGAAAACAATCATAAAATTATTAAGAAAACAATCATAAATTATTAAGAAAACAATCATATTATTAAGAAAACAATCAGCTTTATACTAATGATGTATAAAGCTGCAGTATGGCCTCTAGACTTCTGTTGCTTACACTTCTTGATATAAATCCCAGTAATCTATTTGCCTTATTACGTACGCTTAGGCATTGCTGTCTTGGTTTAAGGTTGCTGCTCACCATAACCCCCAGGAGGCAGGAACAGTAGAGATGCGAAGACGATGTAATCAGTCCATCACCCATGAAGTCGAAGAATTTTGAGGTTTTCAGTCCCTCAGCGAAAATGGTACCTCACTAAGAACATAAGAACATAAGAAAAAAGGAACACTGCAGCAAGCCTGTTGGCCCATACTAGGCAGGTCCTTTACAATTCATCCCACTAACAAACATTTGACCAACCCAATTTTCAATGCCACCCAAGAAACATGCTCCGATGTGCAAGCCCCTCTCAAATCCAACCCCTCCCACTCATGTACTTATCCAACCTAAATTTGAAACTACCCAAAGTCCTAGCCTCAATAACCCAACTAGGTAGACTGTTCCACTCATCAACTACCCTATTTCCAAACCAATACTTTCCTATGTCCCTTTCCTAAATCTAAACTTATCAATTTAAATCCATTACTGCGGTTTTCTCTCTTGGAGAGATATCCTCAAGACCTTGTTAATATCCCCAATTATACCTATCTTCCCACTGTTTTTTTATTAACAACTTCGATCAGGTCCTCCCCTCATTCTACCGTCTAACAAGTGAATGAAACTTAAAGAGTCTTCAATCTTTCTTTAAGGAAGATTTTCTAAATGCTATGTATAATTTAGTCATCCTACGCTGAATGGTTTTTCTAACGAAATTTATTCTCATTCTGTAAAATGGAGACCAGAATTGAGCTGCATAATCTAGGTGAGGCCTTACTAATGAGTATAAAGCTGCAGTAATGACCTCTGGACTTCTGTTGCTTACACTTCTTGAAATAAGTCCAGTAATCTATTTGCCTTATTACGTACGCTTAGGCCATTGCTGTCTTTGGTTTAAAGGTTGCTGCTTACCAATAACCCCCAAGTCCTTTTCCCCCCCGCAATCTGTATGGCTAAGTTCTACATTATTTAACTTATAAGTGCAGGTTATGGGACACCCTCCCGACTTCAGAACCTTGCATTTATCTACATTTGAACTGCATTGCCACTTTTCCTGACCAAGAGTAAAGTTTGTCTAAATCCTCCTGAAGTTCCCTACCATCTACGTTTGAATCAATTATCCTACCTATCTTCCGTGTCATCAGCGAATTTGCTCATATCACTAGTAATTCCTTCATCAAGATCATTGATATAATATTATAAACAACAACGGGCCAAGACTGATCCCTGTGGAACGCCACTTGTTAACTGATCCCCAACTCGTTTAACCCCATTTATGGACACTCCTGCTTCTGTCTGTGAGCCATGACCTGTCCAACGAGAGCACCCTTCCCCCAATGCATGATCGCTACTTTCTTTCAACAGTCTTTGGTGCGGAAAACTCCCACCTATCAAATGCCTTACTAAAATCTAAGTAAATAATATCAAAATTCTTTATCATGGTCAACACCTCAAAAGCGTTACTGGAAAAAGTTTAATAAATAGTTAGACAAGACCGGCCTCTGTGAATCCATGCTGAGTATCATTAATCAGGCTATGCTTATTCGAGATGGCTTCTTATAAATCTCAGCTATAATTGACTCTAGTAATTTTGTGCCTACAATTTGAGGTCAGGCTTATTGGGGCGGTAATTTACGTAACGACTTGTCCCCTTTTTAAAAATAGAATTACATTCTGCCATCCTTCCACATATCTACAGGACACTACAACCTGTTTGAAAGAGATAAATTAAATATTAGTTAATGGTTCACAGAGCTTCCCATTTGCATTCCTAAGAACCCTTGAAAAATAACCTCATCAGACCCGGTGACTTTATTTTGCTTCAGTCGGTCTATCTGCTTCACACCCTTTCACTAGTGACTGTGATGTTTACATAATTTATCTTCTTCTGATCCACTATAAAAAATAATTACCGATATATTATGTCTCCTGTGTAAAAACCGAGAGAAAATAATTATATTAAAATCGAGCGCATTTCATTCTCTTTGTCAGTAAGATGCCCCATAGGTTATTTTTAAGGGACCTATCATATCTCTGATCTTTTGTTCAATATACCTGGAAAAACTTTTTGGTAGTTTTTATAGAATCCCCTAGCAACTTTAAATTTCATAGTCCCTTTTTAGCTTTTCCTTATCCCCTTTTAATGTCCCTCTTAATGTCAATAACTGATTCATAAGATGACCCTCGCCTCTTTTGATACCCTATAAAATCCTTCTTATGCCCAGTAGATATTTCAGCCAATTATTCTCCATTTTGGGTCATTTCTATTTGAGCTATTTCCTTATAAGGATAAACGTTTCTTTGAGCACAGGTATTGTTGTTACAGAAAACTGTCCAATATTGATAGCTCTCTTCGTTAACCCCGTCACAGATGATAAGTGTTCCTAAGCCCATCGTAATCTGCTAAGCGAAAATCTGGGACTGTTACTGAGGTTATCCCTACTAACATACTTCCATTCAATTCTAAATGTAATTGATTTGTGGTCGCAAGCACCAGTTCCTCTGAAACTTCTAAATTATTAACAAGGGATTCATTGTTTGCCAGAACTAAGTCAAGCAGGTAATTTCCCCTTGTAGGTTCTTGTCACAAAGCCTGCCTTTCAAAAACAATCCTGAACTACTTCTAAGAAATCGTATGAATCTAATCCCAGTCCAAGAAATTCCAATGCAATAATGACCTAAAGTTAAAGTCTCCTAGAATTACGACATTATCGTGCCCTTGTGCCCTAACCATTTCCTCCCATAGTAAGCTCCCTTGTCCCTATCTAAATTATGGGGGACGGTATATCACAACCTAAAATTAATTTTTCTGCCCCTCTGAAAATTCTATCCAAACAGACTCTGTAAAGTGTTTTACTTCAGAACTAATACCCCGTTTTTTATCAACAGTTCAAGAGCGATCTCGGACATTACAAAGCCACCCCACCCCCCTTCCCGATTACTTCTATCTAACTTGAACAATTTTAAAACCCTGAATGGTGACATTCTGCAGGCATGTCCCGACTTTTTGAATTAAACCACGTCTCAATAATGTCAATACATCTATGTTACCTGCACTAGCAACTAGTCTCAACTCGTCCATCTTTATCCTAGCACTGCGACATTTGTGTAAATATATACTTAAGGACTCTCCACTCTCTTTACCCTCCTGCTCCTTTCTGTTATTCCACTAAACCTATTACTGTCCTTGTCAATTAGTGCCACTGGCTTTCCAATATCCACTTCATTTTGCCAATTACTAGTTCTCCTATACTCATGTTACTATCCCTGAGACTTCACAGTTTTCCCGCCAAAACCTCATACCACTAACTATTCCTAGTTTAAAGACGAACAGCTCCCTCCACTGCGTTGGCCAGTGCTCCCACCCCAACCTAGATAATGTGAACCCCATCCCTGGCATACATGTCATTTCTGCCATAGAAGAGTCCCCAGATTCAATGAATGTTTACCGCATTTTCCTTACAGTACTTGTCCAGTTCCAGCATAGACAAACCAATTGCTCTGGACAACCATTCATTTCCAACTCCTCTCCTTGGCAAAATGCCACATATGACAGGTTTCCCACCCTTCCTCCTAATTATCTCTATTGCTGACCTATACCTGCTAATCAGGTCCTCCCTCCTACGTCTGCCAACATCGTTGCCTCCAGCACTGAGACAGATAATAGGATTGCTCCCATTACCTCTCATGATGTCATCCAGACGGCTAACAATATCCTTCATCCCAGCCCCAGGAAAACACACTCTCTGCCTCCTACTCCTATCCTTCAAACAGAATGCCCTATCCATGTACCTAATCTGGCTATCCCCAACAACAACAATGTTTTTACCTTCCTTGGCGTCGTCCGTCGTGATGCTCTGAGTAGTCGACTCACATTCGCCAGGTAGCATTACAACCACTTGTAGAATCGTCAAGACGTTCTCGATGGTCTTCGTTGGGGTATCTAGGATGTCTTACTCACGTCTGCCAATGCTTCTTTGGTGCTCGTTGTGGCATTCCCAGCAGGACACTCACATTCGTCAGGTAGCACCGAGAATGAGTTGGAAGTTTCCACGGTAGTCTTCTGGTTTCTCGTTGTTTCCGCCTCTCCAACCGTTTTCTTGATCTTCAGCTTGGTTCCATGTTGCCCGGCCACTGACCAAGCTCCCCTCTTAACCTGGGGACTCACAACAGGAGGATTACTACGAATCCTCTTGTTCTCCTCCGTTAATCGCCGTATCTCCAGTTTAGCAACTCTGAGTTCTTCTCTCAGCTGCTGGTAAAGCTGCTCAAGAGAGGGCATCCTGGTTCAGATTCACAGAGAGCACACAAACAGGTCTTCACAGAGCTAAGTACACGTCACCACTAGTATTGCACCTCACTCAGAGCCTTTATGTACCCTCTGTGTCCATGTATTGTTTGTAATGGCTTGATAAAGCTCCTGGAGAGCGAAACGTTGCCACAATAAATGTCACATTAGTTGCACTTGTGTCCTTTTACTTCACAGAGTTGTAGATGCGTGGAACAGTCTTCTCAGTGGGGTGATAGAGGTTAGGAACTTGGGTAGCTTTAAGAAGAGACTGGACAAATATATGAGTGGGAGGGGCTGGGTTTGATTGGTGTCAAGGGGTACGGGAGTTATTTCTTGAGTAGCTTTAGGTAGATGTCGTTTTGATAAGGACCTGCCTCGTATGGGCCAGTAGGCCTTCTGCAGTGTTCCTACATTCTTATGTTCTTATGTTCTATCTGAAGATCAAGCGACAGTGCGGAGACTTAAATACTGTCGTCTACTGTGTAGGTGAAACGTTTCGGAATAAAGTTGCCTAACTGTTGCCTATGTGTCTTACCTACCAACTTGTCGGTATTTGTTACCAAGGTTTATACCGATAAACGTTATAAACAGTGAATGACTCCTGATGCATTTATCCTAATTCTTGCGTAGTTCTGGATAAAAGATGGACACGAGAGTGGGTGAGGATAGTTGGTTTTGACGAGGACCTGCTTCTGACCTGAGACGGACTGAGTGAGGTGGCAAATATGGTCAGGTGGTATCCACTTCTGGCCTATATAAGATTCTTTGGTGAAGGATTCCATAAGGCTCGTGAATAACTATTAAAGCAGTTCCATTGACAACCTTTGAAAACTACTTCAATAATTTTTAGAGACAATATGGAAAAGTTCCAAGATAATTTACAAAACCCCGTGAAGGAGCTGGATCATGGCCTGTTTGATATGTCTCACTTTTTACATCGGCCTGCAACTCCTGTGAAAGGTAAGCACAGTAAATGTTTTATGTCAATATATTAATAATGCTGCTATTTTTACAAGACGAGTAATGGGTATCATTACTGCCTGTTCACCTAGACTAAACAGTTACATACTTTATCAATTCACTAATTTACATTCGAAACTTATTTGTTTTTATCGTATATTTTTTAAGCTTCATTTATATAACTAATATTTTTGTTAATATAACTATATATTTTTTATTATCACACTGGCCGATTCCCACCAAGGCAGGGTGGCCCGAAAAAGAAAAACTTTCACCATCATTCACTCCATCACTGTCTTGCCAGAAGGGTGCTTTACACTACAGTTTTCAAACTGCAACATTAACACCCCTCCTTCAGAGTGCAGGCACTGTACTTCCCATCTCCAGGACTCAAGTCCGGCCTACCGGTTTCCATGAACCCCTTCATAAATGTTACTTTGCTCACACTCCAACAGCATGTCAAGTATTAAAAACCATTTGTCTCCATTCACTCCTATCAAAAACGCTCACGCATGCCTGCTGGAAGTCCAAGCCCCTCGCACACAAAACCTCCTTTACCCCCTCCCTCCAACCTTTCCTAGGCCGACCCCGACCCAGCCTTCCTTCCACTACAGACTGATACACTCTTTAAGTCACACTTTTTCGCTCCATTCTCTATAACTATAATGGTAATTTACTTGCTAAGATGTTCTGCATCAAATGACAACAAGTGTTGGTTATTATTATGAACCTTTCTCGACTGCTATCAGTATTCCATGAAATTTAAATATAAATTTCTGTGAAGTTTTAAAATTGCTGAAATTAAGTTTGGAACCAACCAATAAGTGGAAAGGTTTTCTGACACCTTTTTATTTCAGATGAGTCGGCAGTCGGAGGCCGATTGCAAAACTCGCTTGACGAGGGGGGTATTCGCCTGTTTGATATGTCTCAAATTTTACGTTTTCCAGCAATTCCTTCGGAAGGTAAGCACAATATATCTTTACTGTCAATATCGAAATTTATAGAATGATAAGATAATAAATTATTTTTTTTACAAGACGAATGTGGTGAACTACCACATTTTATCAACATGTCGGTAATGTGATTTTATGAAAACAGCCTTTACATTTAAAACCTGTTAGCTTCATTTATATAATTAATACTTGTTTATTGTTAATGTAAAAATAACCTCAATTTTTCTAATAAGATTTACTACGTGAAATACTCTCGTTACTGTTTTGATTGAGCCTTTGTCCGACTCTGATGAACTGTTCAATGTGTCGAATTAATTTCAAGAAATTAATATAGAAATCACAGAATGGGTTTTGAACTACAAAAAATAAATTTTGTAGAAATGCAATTTTTCTTTTTTTTTTTCAGATGAGTTGGTAGTCAGGGGCCGATTGGTAAACGAGACTTGCCATAAACAAATTGACAATATCGGTCCAATTACAGTCACATTTCCCTTTGAAATTGGAGAGCAATTTCACCAAGGAATTTCTAGTAATGTGGGCAAGGTTAAGAAACAGAAAACAGTTCTTTGTGGAACACCTTATCAAGTCTTCAAGCCAGAGAATCGAGTCACCTGCCATGCCTGTGGACTCATTGTTGCCACTCGAGGTCACCTGGAGAGGCACCAACGCTCCCATGGAGCAAATAATACCTACAAATGTTACCTATGTGACTGTAGCTTCACCCGAAAGAAGAAAGTGTTGGACCATCTTGATAAAGCCCATGGCATAATGACACCAAAGTTTGCTATATAAAGAAAGTGATGCTCACAGTAACATGACTGTAATCATTAAAATGTTTATAACCGATTTAAAGATTCTGGATACTTGATGTTTAGCGAAGATGAACTAGGGAATACTTGTGTTTCAAACAAGCTAGGCTTCTCTGGTCTTCCTTCCCAGCCCCAAGGGGGCTAATGGGAATGGCAGGCTTGTGAGCTGTAAGCTCCGGCTCAGGCACCTACCCTACCCTAGAAGGGCTGGGCATGGTGTCGTTTCCCTGATGATGAGATATGGAATACTTCTCTTTTAATGTAGTATTCGTAAAATTAAGGGTATATCTGTTATATGTATATTAAATTATTTACTGCATATTATGAGATATATTGATTACTAAAAGTAAATTATTTAACTTCTGATTCATTTTTTGTGTATTTTATTTAAAACATCACGCAAACCAACGTACGAGCCACACCCCGGCTGATCAGGAACTGACTTTAGGTGCTTGTCCAGTGCCAGCTTGAAGACTGCCAGGGGTCTGTTGGTAATCCCCCTTATGTGTACTGGGAGGCACTTGAACAGTCTCGGGCCCCTGACACTTATTGTATGAACATAAGAACATAAGAATGTAGGAACACTGCAGAAGGCCTACTGGCCCATACGAGGCAGGTCCTTATCAAAACGACATCTACCTAAAGCTACTCAAGAAACAACTCCCGCACCCCCCAACACCAATCAAACCCAGCCCCTCCCACTCATATATTTGTCCAGTCTCTTCTTAAAGCTACCCAAGGTCCTAGCCTCTATCACCCCACTGGGAAGACTGTTCCACGCATCTACAACTCTGTTAGAAAACCAGTACTTACCTATGTCCTTTCTAAATCTAAATTTATCCAACATAAATCCATTATTCCTGGTTCTTACCTGGTTCGACACCCTCAGTACTTTATTATGTCTCCCTTGTTTATGCCCGTCATCCACTTATACACTTCAATGATATCTCCCCTCATTCTACGCCTCTCCAGAGAGTGGAGATTTAAGGCTTTAAGTCTATCTTCATACGGGAGGTTCCTTACACAGTAAATCATTTTAGTCATTCTTCTCTGTATGTTTTCTAATGAGTCTATGTCCATCCTGTAGTAAGGGGACCAAAACTGAGCAGCATAATCTAAATGAGGCCTCACTAGTGATGTATAGAGCTGTAAAATAACTTTTGGACTTCTGTTACTTATACTTCTTGAGATAAATCCAAGTAATCTGTTGGCCTTGTTGCGCACACTAAGGCACTGCTGTCTTGCTTTAGATTTCTGCTTACCATGACTCCCAAGTCCTTTTCACATTCTGTATGACCAAGCTCTACTTCACCTAGATTATAGCTTCGAGGGTTATTTTCATTACCAAGGGCAAGTACCTTACACTTATCCACATTAAACTTCATCTGCCATTTTTCGGACCAAGACATTAATTTGTTCAAATCGTCCTGGAGTTCATTGATATCCTCCTCAGAGTGAATTATACGGCCTATCTTTGTATCATCAGCAAACTTACTCTGTCACTAGTAATCCCTTCATCAAGGTCATTATTGTAAATTATGAACAAGAGAGGGCCTAAAACTGATCCTTGTGGAACGCCACTAGTGACTAATCCCCATTCAGATTTCACTCCATTAATGGTAACTCTCTGGCCGAGGGACTGATTACCTCATCTTTTGTATATAGTTCTACTGTTTTCCTATTATGTCCTAGAATCTGTATTGATAAAGCCACTGGATGGCGAAACGTCTACAATAAAGATATCCAGATTGTTGCAACATGTGTCTTAACTTTCAAAGGATCACATTATACTGCATTTGTGTTTATATTGCCACATAGTCTCTCCTGTTATACTACACAAAGCACAGAGAGTGAACACTGAAACAAGCTGCCTCATTCCAGTTTATATTTGTCCAACCTATTTTTATGTTACCCAAGTAATAGCTTTTATATCCTTTTACTCATGTACGAATTATTTGCTCTACAATATTGTATTATGATGAATGGTTTGAAAAACCGACAAGTTGAAGATTGAGACACTTATGCAGCATATGGAAATCTTTATTCAGGAAACGTTTCGCCACACAGTGGCTTCATCAGTCCAATACAAAGAGTAAGGCGTAAGGAGAGGAGGAGAATGAGGTAATCAGTCCCTCCAGGTTGAGGGACTGCTATCAGTATTCCATGAAATTTAAATATAAATTTCTGTGAAGTTTTAAAATTGCTGAAATTAAGTTTGGAACCAACCAATAAGTGGAAAGGTTTTCTGACACCTTTTTATTTCAGATGAGTCGGCAGTCGGAGGCCGATTGCAAAACTCGCTTGACGAGGGGGGTATTCGCCTGTTTGATATGTCTCAAAAATTTTACGTTTTTCCCGCAAATTTCCCTTTGGAAAGGGAAGCACAATAT